AAGCCAAGTATGCATATGCGTGCTAAGCTTGCACGCCAAGCATGCTTGTGGGGCTGGTGCTCATGGCCGCAAGCAGGCTAGTAGTTGGCGCGCCATGCGTGCTAGTGTGCTTACATGCTGGGCCTTACACCCCGCCACTTGCAGCATCGCAGTAACTGGGCATCGCCCAGCACCCGCACAACACTTCACACCCATCGTAGCAGCAGCAGCTCGCATTGCGTGTGTGGCTTGATTGCTGCGCATATACGAAGGCAGGCTGGCTAGCTAGCCCAGCCTTGGTGCTAGGCACCAGCTGGGCAGCATTGGCAGGCTACCAGACAACCTTGTGTGGGGTCACCTTTCGATCAAAGAAAGACCGGTCTTGGTGGCTTGCTTGGGGAGCAAATTGTGTTTGGTCCCCCCCCCTTCTTAGTGGTCCTCACCTACCCTTGCTCACCATTTGCCACTTGGCGCTTGTTGATTCTTTTACATTTTAATTTGTTTTTGGATTAAAATAAATTGAGCAAAATGCAATTCCCCCACAATGATGGGAAATGGGAAACCAAGACTCCATTCCCTATATATACCCATGTTTGGGGTTTAGGAAGAAGCACTTGAGTTGAACTCAATAAGGCATCTCCCTATAAGTGAGAAAACCTTTACGTTCGTAATACTCTAGTATTTCCTTGGTCTAGCCCCAACTAACCTTCAGGGTAGTAGAGACCGCTCAGGTCAGGTCAAGGGTGCAAGCCGTCGGAGGCTTACGCACTTGCGAAGCTAGAGCTTTCAAGTAAAAGCTCGTAAGCGAGCGAAGCACGCGTTGAGGGTAAGATCTTCTTTTCTCTTTCTCTCTCTTGTTGTTTAATTATGTGATTGCATGTTTAGTTAACTTAATTAGTGTGCAGGTCTTAGGCAGGTTTCATTCCGCGTAGTGTCGGACACTACGAAACCCAACACGGTAGGGACGTTCCCAATTAGGACTCAAATTTCGTTGCTCATTTGCCTTACCAGTTGCCTCCATTTTCCATAGCACAAAGTCTCCTACTTTCAAGGTTCGTTTGTGTACTCTTTTGTTATAGGCTCTTGTCATTCTCAAACGATAAATCTCATGATGTAAAGTGGCATTGCCCCTGTACTCTGGGAGTTAGTCCAATGCTAGCCGCATGGCCTCCCTGTTAGCCTCTTCATCATAAAGCGTGACTCGAAGATTCAGCTCGTAGTGCTCAATAGGCAAGACGACTTCTGCACCATATTTTATATGAAACGGGGTTTCACCGGTTGGCCCTTTTTCAGTTGTTGTGAAGGCCCATAGACCGCCAGCCCTTTCAATTTTATTCTTAATGCCGTCTGAGATAAACTTGTTGAAGGCTTCAACCTGGCCATTTGCTTAGGGACGACCAACTGATGCAAAGCAATGTGAGATCCCTTGATCTCTCAACAAATTCTTGAGGGTAGGCGTCTCAAACTGAGGGCCATTGTCAAAGACCATAGACATAGGTACCCCAAATCGGGTGATAATATTCCTCTAAATGAAGGAGATGACATCCTTTGTCTTTATGCCCTTGACCGCCTCTGCTTTTACCCATTTGGTGAAGTAGTCAACATCAACTAGAACATATCTTCGTCTGCCTGTAGCAGGCGTATATGGACCCAGATGTCCATGCCCCATTTGACGAATGGTATTGGGCTGTAAATAGCCGTCAGATCAGTAGCCGGACAATGTATGAGTTTACCAAATCTTTGACACTTGTCACATTTCTTCACCATTTCCATGGCGTCTGCCTCAAGAATGGGCCAAAAGTAGCCTTGCCGCCTAGCCCTTTTTGCTAGGGATCTGCCGCATAAAAACCCGAGTGCAGATCCTCTAGTACATCCTTCCCCCTTTCTGGGGTGACACATTTCAACAACGGCTGCAGATAACCCTTCTTGAAATGCTCTCCATTATGAATCTCCAAGTTTGTAGAATGCTTTTTCATTGCATCCGCTTCTGGGTATGCATCCAGCAGAGTGTCGTCTGTTAGATAAGCCTGGATGCCATCCATCCAGGTTGAGCTTCGGTCCAGAATTCCAATGGGATCTTGTTCAATAATTCTTTTTTCCATAACTTCCCAAAAGACTGACCTAGGCATATCACAAGAGGCGGGAGCTTAGAGAGAGCATCCGCCTGGTTGTTTTCTAACCTGGGCACTTGACTTATATGAAATTCATCAAGTGTCCCAGCCTCTTCTTTGACCGCCTGCAAGTATTTGATCATAACCGGATGAGTGGCCTCATAGTCAACATGGTATTGGTTAACGATCAATTGTGAACAAGAGCATGCGTCAACTTTTCTTGCCCCTGTCGCCTTACACATGCAGATACCGGCTAGCAGGGCTTCATATAATGCCTCATTATTTGAGGCTTGGAACTTGAACTGTAGTGCATATGCGTACTTGTCCCCTTCAGGGGACTGACAAATAACGCCTGCACCACAGCCGTCCATTGTAGAGCTCCTGTCTACATACACTTTCCAAACCTGTTCAAGATTCTCCGACTTCGCCGGCCTTGTTTTTTCTACAATGAAGTCGGCAAACACTTGATCCTTCACTGCCTTCCTAGGTTCGAAAGAGATTTCAAGGCTTTGCATTTCAATAGCCCATTTAAGCATTCTGCCGGATGACTCCAGAGTTGTCATTGGCCGCTTGAGGGGTTGATCTGTTCAGATCATAACCGGATGTGCCAAGAAGTAAGGCTTCAACTTCTTGGCTGCCATGAAAATAGCAAAGCAAAATTTTTCAACCATGGGGTACCATAGTTCAGCATTTTGAAGAGCATGGCTAATGAAATAGACCGGGAGTTGGGTGCCGTCTCTCTCAGCAAGAAGAATAGCACAGAGCGCAGGGTTAAAGACGGCTAAGTACATGTAAAGCACCTCTTGCGGCAGAGGGCTAACAAGCCTTGGAATTGAGTGCAAGCGTTTTTTCAACTTCTAAAAGGCCGCCTCAGCATCCTCCCCACATTCAAATCTAGTCTTCTTTTTGATTTCTTGGAAGAAATAGAGGCACTTGTTACTTAACCAACTGAGGAATCTCCCCAATGCCGACAGACAACCGGTTAATTTTTTTACATCTTTGACAGTGCAGTGATATACACGTTTTATACATAGATTTATCCCGATATTATATCACATTCTTACATGGTTTTAAGCTCGCTAACAATATCTTCTCTAGTGTGTTCGGTGTGTTTTTATAAGTTTTAATAGGAATACGGAGTTTCTTGGATGAATCGGACGTGTTTTGGATGATTATAGAAGAGGTTGGTGTGTGAACAAGAAGGTTTCCCCTGCGCCCTATTGACCCTAGCTTGTCCGGTCCAACTGGGCAATGAAAGATGAGTTTAATACGGAGTAATTGCTGCAGCTCCTATGTGCCCGATCGGGCATGGTCCGCCCGGTGGGACCGGGCACAGAGTAGAAGCCTCGCGTTGAAACAAGAAGGCAGCAATTGATTTGGAGAAGCATAGTTGCACGCCCGATCGGGCACCACCCGCCCGGTGGGACCGAGCGCAAGGGAGAAGAAGCAAAGCGCAAGTTGAGCAACCCGTATACCATCCGCTTGATCAGGCGGTGCTCGCCCGGTTGGACAGGGCAAAGGCTTGCGGAATCCGATTTTAATATTTTCGCAATTTTATCTTGTTAAGGGAATAAATACCCATTGTAATTATCATTAGAACATACATCTTTATTTCCTTAAGTTTTACTTCTCTCCCTAGAACCCTAGTTTATTTCTTTTAAGCAATTTAATTCTTTCATTAGATTTGATTATTGTTGATCGACATTTTGAGTTATTTCAATTGAAGCATCATTGGTATTCATCTCTATTCCCTTCTCTTTCAATTATTATTGTTTTCCATTATGTTTTCTTTGAAAATTTTTGTTATTGCTTATTTGAATATGTGTGAGTAGTTTTTATATTCCAAGATCTAGGGTAGCCCAATAATGATTGATGCATGAATTGATTCTTTAAATTCTCTAATAACTATTGCAATTATTTATTCTAAGTTGATTGTGATTATGCCAATACTAGATTAGAGATAATAGTATTGTTAGTATTCCATAGTTCTAATCACAACGAGAGTTGGGTTCTAACGGATTTGAGTAGATCAATTTAGGGTTTGAAATTCATCACGAGAGTGGTTGAATTGATAATTGGGAAGTGAAGTAAATTGTTTAATGTCTCTAATTTGCATGATTCCATGAGAATAGGATTGATTGTGGTTAGAGAAGCCATTGATACTCGAGAGAGGTCCTTGGTATTGATTAGGGTTTGATTTTCCCCATGTTAATTGGATTTGAATGCTAGGGGTAGATAGATAATTGCATCGATCGTAATTGTTGTGATACTTGATCTTGGATGTTTTAGTTTATTGATTCATTATATTCTTTTAATTAATTCTAGTTTTTTATACAGTAGTTCCTAGTTTATTTCACCATTGATTGTTACTTGCTTAGTGATAATTTGAGTCCATTTAATTCGGTGAACCTTAGTCTCTTGGGATTCGATCTTTACTTGCCCGACTACATAGTTAGGAGGAATAGTTAGGTTATTTTTGTTAGGTACCCGACACGTCTATCAAATTTCGGCGTCGTTGCCGGGGACTAACGATTTCATTTGATTATTTGTGATTCGTTTTTGCTAAGCTTTATTCGTTGCTTCGGCTATTTTCTCTTGTGTTTTTGATATTCTCGTTCTTGTTTTCTTGTTGCATGCAAACACGAGGCAACTATAAGGAGAAGGAGAACAAGAAATCGACATAATAGAAACAAGGTAGACCAAGGAACAAAAACTCTTTTGGAGTACAGTATTCCTGGTACGACAACCGGACTCCTCTCTAGCATTGTCAGGCCACCTGTCACTGCTCAGCACTTTGAATTGAAACCACAGTTCATTCAATTCATCTCCAATGACTCTTTTGCAGGCACAGCACATGATTGCCCGGTAAGTCATATTGTTTGTTTCTTCGAGAAATGTGATACTATGAAAATGAATGGTGTTACAGATGATGCTATCAGACTTCGCCTTTTCCCTTTCTCATTACGGGATAGGGCGAAGGAATGGTAGAGAGATGAAGGCACTGGCTCGTTTAATACATGGGAAAATCTAGTGAAAGCTTTTCTAGTAAATTTTTTGGGATAAGAAAAGACTGCTAGGTTAAGGAACGAGCTAGCTACCTTTAGTCAATCTGATGATGAGTCTTTATATGAGGCATGGAGAAGATTCAAGCGCTTACAGAGACAATGCCCTCATCATGGTATCCCAGAGTGGCTGTTGATCCAAACATTCTACAATGGTCTGACCCATGAGTTTTGCATATACATTGATGCTGCATCCGGGGGTTCTCTCATGACTAAGAACCCAACTGAAGCCAAGGAGCTAATTGAGAAGATGGCAGCCAATGATAATTATCACCCAGGGGGCAGAAATACTGTGAAGACTAGAGGAAAATTTGATGTTGATGGTTTAACTCTCTTGACAAGTTTTGTACAAGCATTAACAAGCAAGTTTGATAAAATCCTCTTCCACCTCATCCAAAACTTGTCAATTATGTGGTATTCAAGGCCATATTGCTCCACAATGTCAACCGCCCTCTGATGAAATATCAATCGAGCAAGCAAATGCCTTCTATACTACGGCATCTAAAAGGTTGTATGATGCTCAAGCTCAATTGTATTCTCTGCCACCACCACCTAATCTTCAAGAAAGGGCATCTTTTAATCACCAACCCATGTATCAACAACTACCACCGCAAACTTCAAAATACAACCTCGATTCCACTATAGAGACTTTCACTACCTCCCTTCTTCGACAGCAAGAGCTTATGACAAAGCAATTTGAGCTACAAGGAAAGCAAAATGAACACTTTGAAAGCTCAATTCAATTCCTTATGGCTCAAAATAAGAGGATAGAAACCCACCTTTCTCAACTTTCACAACAAGTGAGTCATTTATCAACTCTTCATGATCAAGCAAAAGTCAAAAAGGAACAATGCAATGCAGTTTTCTTGAGAAGAGATGAATTATTTCCGAGGAAAATAGATGAGAAAGTGTGCAGTGTGGAGCCAAAAAAAGATGAACAGGGTGAGGATGTAAAAAGTCCCAAACATGTTGCTCCATCGGCTTATGAGGAACCGATGCCCTTCCCGCAAAGGTTGTCAAAAGCCGTGCTCGATAAACATTTTGGGAAATACTGCGAAGCTCTTAAGAAGGTACACACTTCTATTCCTTTTTCCGGTCTTTTAATTCAAATGCCTCAATTTGCAAATTTTATGAAGAATATTAAAGATCAACATGAGGATAAGGAAGTAGTAAATGAGAAAGGCTCTACTCTTTTATGTGATAGCATACCACCTAAGCTGCATGATCCTGGTAGTTTCACTATTCCCTGTATGATAAACGAAAAAAATTTCGACAAGGTTTTGTGTGATTTAGGTGCTAGTGCTAATTTATTGCCTTATTCATTATATGAAAAATTGGGTATTCGAAAACTTAAACCTTCCCCTATTTCTCTTCAAATGGCTGCTAGGACTTCTAGACTCCCTATGGGTGTGGTTGAGGATGTATTAGTTAAGGTTGATGAACCTGTTTTTCCTGTTGATTTTGTTGTTATGGACATAAAAGAAGACCATAAGATCCCGATTATATTCGATCGTCCATTCCTTGCCACAAGTCAAGCTCTAATAGATGTTCGTAAAGGACAAGTGACCACTAGGGCCCAGAATAAACAAGTCATGTTTAAGCTCTTTAATGAACATAATTTCATATTTGATGGTGGTACTTGTTTAAGAATTGATACTACTAACACTTTGGTTGATAAGTGTGTATTTGGTAGAAATTTTGTGATAAACAAGGACAGAATTCCACCAAATGATGTGTTTAGCTACATGAAGGTAAGTTCGGATACAAAGCATGTCAAATATAAAGTGAAGGAGTCACTTGGAGGCAGATATTTTCATGGGCAACATCGTGGAGTTCCTTCTTCGTGTGGTGACCCAGGTTGAGCCAACAACGAAGGTCAAGCTAAAGACCCTGATAAACTAGCGCTTTGCGGGAGGCAACCCGTATTTTATTGTTTTTTATTTTATTCTTTTCTAATTTTTGCGTGTTTTTGTTTGTCTTTGGCTTTTATAGAGGTAAGGAAAGTGTAACTTGCGTTTGTGGGAGTTTGTTTTTGTGCAGATTTTGAGCCAAAGAAGAACTGAATTCATTCAAACGTTCAATCCCCTTCGTGCCGGATCCGGCATCCCATGCCCGGTCTGACCGGGCGGTGAGGGTTGAGAATTAGCTTTAATTCTTCTTTCTTTCATGCTTCTCGCGCCTGATCGGGCAGCCATGCCTGGTCGGACCGGGCGCGCATACGGTTCATCAAAACTGCTCAAGTTCGACATGCCATAACGTTTGCGCTACTTAACGGATTTTTGCGTGTGACCTATCGTCGGAAAGCTATTCAAGTTTACTTTCTAATTCAATTAGAATCACTGCATTATCTTTTATACATCAAAAGTTATGATTAGAATAGTGCACATGACTCAATTTTTATCTTTTCCCCACTAACACTTTGTTTCATTTTTGCTCAAATTTGTTCCAAAGAGATGCATTGCAATCCTCGAGGTTTTGGCAATGTTATTTTGGGTGATGATGATAAGGAGTAGTCACCTTGACTACTAGCTTCCCTTTAAGACAATGAGGACATTGTCTGATTTAGCCTGGGGGGAAGTTCTTGTGTACACAAGGTATATCTTTCACTCTCTCTTTTTATTTTAGTAATTTTTAATGCTTTCATCTCTGAAAAAAATATAAATAAAATAATTGAAAAACATGAAAAAATACGAGATTCATGATAATGAACGGCCATTGAACTAGTTCCCTGTGCCCCTATCCTTTATGGGAAAAGGTTTTGATTTAATTTCGATTGAAAGACTTGCATTGTGGATTAAAAGATCATGATTTGACCTTGAATTGGTTGATCCCTAGTAGGGGTCAAAGCTATTAACCATGTATGATTCAGGAGCTTGACTGTGTTAACCGTGAGGCTTGAGCCTTATATATTCATTCATGTATGTGTTTAGTTCCTGGTGTAGCATTGATCTTAGTTTTGATTCTAAACTCTTAGTAGTGTGTCGTAATGCATTGCACGTGCATGTTGAAATGACGAAGGCCATGTTCATTAGGTAACCTCCAGACGAATTTAGAACATCTGTTCCCTTCCTGCTCACCCATGTTGTAGCTTATCTATATTTTTCATGAGCCTCACAAAATTACCCCTTAGACCCAAATTGGTTACTTTTCCCATGTCCAGCTTGGGGGAGCTTTATTGTGTGGTATTTTGTGTGATTTTATTTCAAGTTGCAATTGACGTGAAGTATATGAAAAAAAAGTAGAGAAAAGAAGGAGAACTAGCATGGAGGTTGTTGTTGAAAAAAAAATGAATCAAGGAGCAAGGAACAATAAAGAAGAAAAATTTTGTACTCAAAAGAAAAGAAAGTGTCTTTGTTATTGAAAAAAAGAGAGAAGAAAAATGTTGATGTGAAAAATAATGAAAAAAGCTTGAAGTTGGAAAAGTATGTGAAGGAGGTATTTGGTATTTTCATTGTAGTCGGGTATGTGTTTTGTTGATCAAAATGGTAAATCGAGGGTGTGACTCATTGCATTTGATAGCTCTCCTGTTAGACTAATATAGCCCACATTTCCCAAATTATTTCCTACCCATTCTTATTCCCGGCCTACGTTACAAGCTTGAAAAAGTCCTTCCAATCTTCGTGCATAGCATTGTGTTCATGTGAAACGAGTCTTTTGTCAAAATGCTGGAGTATATGTTACATTTCGAGTCAAAATTTGACTAGGTTGAGCGATATTATAACCTTCTAAACACGCGAGTGTTGTGAGATGGGGGGATTGCATTATTGGTGGGGATGGTGAGAGATCGAGCTCATTTTTAGCTCGCCACGTAAAAAGTGTGTTGAGTGACCACCTATGTGAGATATTCTAGTCATCGATTCTTGAAATATACATGGTTGGTCTCGTTTGACAACTAATTAGGTGGATCGACGGTTTGAGTAATTTGATTGGTTGGCTAAGATGCATGCTTGTTTGATTTCGATTTTGAATCCGTGTTTTAAATTTGCATTATGGGGTGAAGTATGTTGTTTGGTTGTCTGTTATTTTTTATTGTCTTGCTTGAGGACAAGCAAGAGTTTAGCTTGGGGGAATTTGATATTCACGTTTTATACGTAGATTTATCCCGATATTACATCACATTCCTGCATGGTTTTAGGCTCTTTAGAGCCATTTCTCGCTAACAATCTCTTCTCTAGTGTGTTCGGTGTGTTTTTTTAAGTTTTAATAGGAATACAGAGTTTCTTGGATGAATCGGACGTGTTTTGGATGATTATAGAAGAGGTTAGTGTGTGAAGAAGAAGGTTTCCCCTACGCCCTATTGACCGTAGCTTGCCCGATCCAACAGGGCAATGAAAGATGAGTTTAATACGGAGTAATTGCTGCAGCTCATACGTGCCCGATCGAACATGGTCCGCCCGGTGGGACTGGGCACAAAGGAGTAGAAGCCTAGCGTTGAAACAAGAAGGCAGCAATCGATTTGGAGAAGTATACCATCTGCCCGATCGGGCGGTGCTCGCCCGGTTTGACCGGGCAAAGGCTTGCAGAATCCAATTTTAATATTTTCGCAATTTTATCTTGGTAAGGGTATAAATTCCCATTGTAATCATCATTAGAACATACATCTTTATTTCCTTAAGTTTTACTTATCTCTCTAGAACCCTACTTTATTTCTTTTAAGAAATTTAATTCTTTAATTAGATTGGATTATTGTTGATCAACATTTTGAGTTATTTCAATTGAAGCATCATTGGTATTCGTCTCTATTTCCTTCTCTTTCAATTAATATTGTTTTCAATTATGTTTTCTTTGATCATTTTTGTTATTGCTTATTTCAATATGTGTGAGTATTTTTTATATTCCAAGATCTAGGGTAGCCCAATTATGATTGATGCATGAATTTATTCTTTAAATTCTCTAATAATTATTGCAATTATTTATGCTAAGTTGATTGTCATTATGCCAATACTAGATTAGAGATAATAGTATTGTTATTATTCCATAGTTCTAATCACAACAAGAGTTGGGTTTTAACGGATTTGAGTAGATCAATTTAGGGTTTGAAATTCATCACACGAGTAGTTGAATTGATAATTGGGAAGTGAAGTAAATTGTTTAATGATTCTAATTTGCATGATTCCATGAGAATAGGCTTGATTGTGGTTAGAGAAGCCATTGATACTCGAGAGAGGTCCTTGATATTGATTAGGGTTTGATTTTCCCCATGTTAATTGGATTTGTATGCTAGGGGTAGATAGATAATTGCATCGATCGTAATTGTGGTGATACTTGATCTTGGATGTTTTATTTTATTGATTCATTATATTCTATTGATTAACTATAGTTTTTCATACAGTAGTTCCTAGTTTATTTCACCATTGATTGTTACTTGCTTAGTGATAATTTGAGTCCATTTAATTCGGTGAACCTTAGTCTCTTGGGATTCGATCCTTACTTGCCCGACTACATAGTTAGGAGGAATAGTTAGGTTATTTTTGTTAAGTACGCGACACGCCTATCATGCAGGGTAACTGCATGTCAATAACCGCCTCTATCTTTTCTATCTAGGTTGGCCTCTATCCACCTTTGATCAATTAGAAATCCGAGAAACTTCTAAGACTCAACACCAAAGACACACTTCTTGGGATTGAGCATGACCTTGTGCCGCCTGAGTGTGGCGAATGTTTCTCGGAGGTCAGCAAGGTGATCCTCTTGTTGCTTGGATTTGACTATCATGTCATCAATGTGCGCCTCTACATTCCTCCCAATTTGATTAATGAAGACTGTATGAATCATCTGCTGGAAAGTAGTAGGCGCATTTTTCAAACCAAATGGAATCACGGTGTAGCAGATAACCCCTGACAGTGACGAATGTCGTCTTCTCTTGATCTTTCTTCCACAAGGGTATCTGATGAAAACATGAGTAGGCGTCAATAAAACTCATTAAGGCATGCTTGGCTGTAGAGTCAACTAAATTGTCGATCTTTAGAAGAGGATAACCATCCTTTGGACATGCCTTGTTCAAATCTGTGTAATCAACACACATGCGCTAGGTACCATTCGGCTTCTTGACAAGCACACCATTTGCAACTCAATATGGGAAATAACATTGTCGAATGAACCTAGCATCTAATAGCTTTTTTAATTCGGCGGCTGTCCCTTGACTTTTCTCCTTGCCATGGTTCCTTTTCTTTTTCCTAACTGGCTTCTTTTTGGGATCCGCAGCAAGTTTGTGAACAGCAAGATCCGGGCTGATGCCTGACATCTCTTCCACTTCAAAGGCAAATATGTCTTTGAATTCTTTCAACAGATTGTGCAAGTGTGCACCTAAACTCGCAAAAGCAGCCGTCCTAACCTTAACAGTTCGCTCTAGACGAGTGTCGTCCTGAGAAATATCAATGTGTTCACCAGCCGGCTTGGGACGATGTTCATCTGACCGTTCCCCGATCAATAATTGCTATTGCTTTTCTTTTTTGACGGCCACCACTAGTCAGCCTTTCTCTTTTTACCGGCTGCTATTGGAGCATGCGCGACTTCCTTGACCTTATTAAGGTCTATAGGCTCTTCACCTTGGCCATATGCGGCCACCGTAGGCTTGATGTCTGAGAGGTAACACCCACTTGTCGTCTTCTAATCCCCGTTCAAGGAACCTACAGACCCGTCATCCTTTTGAAATTTCAAGAGCATAAGGGATGGAATGATGACTGCCTTGGATTCATTCAGGGTTGGGCGGTCCAATATTAGATTATAAGTCGTCAACTCCTCAACGACTAAGAACCGGACTACCGTGTGGCGTCCTTCTCCTTTCTCCCCTAACCGGATGGGTAAGTCAATCCTCCCTACCGGATGCACTACTCCACCCCCAAAACCAACTAAGGGGTGAGAT